AAAATCTTTAAAAAAAAAAAAAAGAATTAAGCTTTGGGACCTAGTGTGGAATTTGGTGCCCTGCCTGTGGTTTCTACACCATGGGGTGGCACGGTCCCCAGGGGCTGGGCTGAGCGTGCTGCTGTGACAAGTGGGCCATGTGGTGGCCTGAAGCACCTGCTCTTCTCATCCCCACCCCACTGACCATCACATCAGGCTGTTACTATCCCCAGGCACAGGCCCCAGCTCCTTGCTGAGGCTGTTCCCCAGGACAGTCCTATCTTTGGTGCCAGTTAGCAGAGAAACGGTACAATTAACCAGGCAGTCCACTCAGGGCTCCTCAGTTGCTCCCTCCCACAGGGCCCTGCTTCTGCACCTGGAGTTGGCAGCCAGCTGAGGCTGTAGGGAAGGGACTAGATGGTGTGTCATTTGGGGCAGGCATGGGACAAGGCACAGTGGCCGACCCAGAAGTGTCTGGGTAGGTGCTGGCCAGGGAGAGGGACAGAAGGCTTCAAGTGCATCTCTCCTGACACGGGCCCCAGAACAGCCGCCTGGGACTCTGGGATCCGCACTTGAAATCATTGATTACTGTCTCCACAGGGGCCTTTCTGGAAGGGACTGGATAAAGAACTGGCTGAGGCCAATGAGGAGAGAGGTACTCCAGTCTGTCTCAGAAAAGTCATTCCCTTTGGGGATCCCAGGCTCCCATTTGTGAAGTAGAGGTCATATTTGCTATTCCTCCCAGGGATGTGGTGAGAGTAAGTGAAGTCAGATGGAGAATCAAGCATCCCCAGGACCTGAAGCACTATTCACTCAGCTGCCATGAGGGACACAAGGCCCTCTGAACCTTCCCACCCACCGAAATCTGGGCTTCTGCCAACAGGGCAGAGATACTGGAACAGACCCAGGCCCAGAGAGGTGGCCGATGAGACAGACACCTGGAGACAGAGGAACTTTCAAAGCCACATGTATGATACCAGGAACCAGGTTTGGACAATGCAGTCCAGTATTTTACACAATATTTTCCCACAACTCATGTTGTTTGCCCAAGAACACAGCTCTGAAACTATAATCAAAACAAATGGGAAAACTGATACCTTTGGCAGCCAGCCTTTGAGGAGCTTAGCTATTTTGCCCTACAAGTTACAGCTGCCTTGATAATGTTTTTGCACAAGAACCAAGTCAGAAAGAAAGAAGCTTTTGAGCTGTGGTTTGTTTGTTTTTTTATACTCAGTGATTTTTATTGATTCTCATGGGAAAATACATATCTTCTTAGCAACTTAAAACTACCTTAAGAAGTGTGTCAATGCAAAAAATACCTCTGCTTTTTGTCCCCTAGACGTCTAATCCCCCCATCCCTGACGTGTGTGGAGCGCTGAGGAAAGGCAGCCCCTCATTGCATCCTAGGCTAGGCCTGTGTAGCCGGCGCAGCTGGGGCGTGTGCTGGGGAGACAGGGCTGCCTGAGGGACTGCTCCTGTCTGTCCCCAACCCAGGCTTGGTCCAGAGGGGTGGGGCCGCTGAGCGAGCTGTTTCCACTGTGCGAAACAAAGTGGCTGGGGGGCCAGGGCCAGGGGAGGCAGGGCGCTGTCCAAGAAGACTCCTAGAGGCTCCTTCCTCCCCATCCCAGGATCCCAACTGTTTTGGAAGTTTTAAGGCTCTGTCACCCATCTTTACCTGCCGGCTGCGCCGTATGTTTCAGATCGATGGGCTGGAGGAGAAGCTGTCGCAGTGTCGCAGAGACCTGGAGGCTGTAAACTCCAGGCTCTGTGGGGCGGAGCTGAGCCCAGAGGCCAGGTAATGTGTCTGCCCGGGACTCCCGCCTTCCCCCAGCCCCTCATATTTATCCTGGGGCCCTGGCCCTGAGCTTCCATCACCCTACCCCTTGCCACGGGAGATCCCTTGTTCCCCTCGTCCATCTTGCCCCCGTGTGTCAGCTGCCCCTCAGGACGGAAAAGGGCTTGAGCCATAATACTCCTTCTCCCCTCACAGGAAGTCTCTGGAGAAGGAGAAAAACCACCTGATGAGCAAAGCCTCCAACTACGGTAAGAAAGTTCCCTTCCTTTACCAGCCCCATCCTCCAGTCCCAGGGTCAGGAGGGGACAGACAGCCCAGGGACCCCACCAGGTCATGGGGATCAAGAGGGTTCTTTGGGAGGGAGCCGCCCCCCCACCCCACAACCCCCCCCCAACTCCTCTGCCCCCTGCTACTCCTCTGCCAAGACTATAGGAACCCACTGTAAGCCTGGAAGAGCAGGTTTGTTCCTTTGTTCCAGGGGAGATGGAGAGGCCTATGGGTCTGTTCTTCCTCTGTGGGATGAAGTGGAATGGTTGTAGTCAGGTCCAGAAGAGACTCTCACATCCACCCAGACTTGGGAGATCTGTCCTCCCCCGCCCCTCTCTCCCCTCCCACCTCACACTCCATTCCAGGAAAACCCGAGAGGTGAAGGAGGGGCTATGTGGGTGGAGCAATGCTGCCACCTTCTGGGCGCTGGGGGCAGAGCCGGAGGGCGGCTACTACCAGCCCTACCCCAACCCTGCCCCAGCCAGCCTGAGAGGAAGATGGTCTGCAGAGGTTCCTCAGACTTCTCGGTTTTGTTCTCCCGCTGAGACAGCAGACCTGCTAAGAATCAGCCCCAGGACAGTCCACATGATGGGGAATGTCCCAGAGGGACGAGTTTGAATCAACACTGTAAGCACAGCACATGTGTGCACACACACCTCTACCTGGGCCCCAGTCTCAGTCTGGCCTGCCTAGAGCTGATTTACAGGTACCTGCCCGTCCACACAAGTAGGGAAGGGATATCCGTTCTGTCTCAAGGCTAGCAATTTTTATAGTCGCAGCACCAGCCCTCAGTTTACCTGAGGGGTAGCAGTACCGCCCACCTGCATGTCACACAAGGGGATGAATGGATGCCCTGTGGCCATAGAATAGGACTGGCTTTCTCTAGAGGTGAGCCCAACCACCTCGTGGGCACTCCCTGCCTTCTAGCGTCGCTGGTTCCTGCTTAGCTGGGTGTCCAGCAGGGGCCAAGACCGGAAGCACCGATGGCGTGGCCCCACCCTGTACCTACTCCAGTGTCGGGCCTAAAAAGTCCCAGCTGCCCTGAGTTTCTAGTTGGCCAGATGAGACCCCCTGCAAGGATGAGTACCATGAAGCACCCCACGCCCACCCCCCACCGGCAGTGACAGGCCAGAGGACTCACCTGGTGATGCCGTGCCAACACCTAGCTTGGCTATCAGGTGTGGCCTTTTTGATGACCCCCTCACAAACTCCATCCTCAACTTCCACTGCGTTTGAAGAAAAATGGTTGAGCAGCATTGGGTGATGGGATTCCTTTGGGCCAGGATCTGTAGCCAAAAGGTGGTGAGAATCTGGGCAGATCAAGGAGGACAGTCATTTTTGTGGATAAGGAAGTAGAGAAGCTGGGCGGGAACACTTCTGCTCTCAACAGCATGTACACCCATTTGCCGGAGAGGCGAGGCAGAGGAGAGTAGCAGATGGGCCCCAACTACCTGTTCACCACCCTGTTTTCTCCCAGAGAAGGAGCTAAAGTTGCTTCGGCAGGAGAACCGGAAAAACATGCTCCTGTCTGTGGCCATCTTCATTCTCCTGACCCTCATCTACACCTACTGGACCATGTGAGCCTGAGATTTCTCCAGTCTGCACAGGCTTCCCCTTGGCCCCCTGGTCACCACCAACCAGGCCATAAGCCTCAAGACAACCAAGGTACAGGAGCATTTCTCCCCAACCCAGACACTGGAGCAGGACCTCCTGTCAGCCCAGCCCCTCTCGCCTCCTGGTTCTGCTGTGGGGCCTGGGTCTCCAGAAGGACTGTGTGCTGGTTCCTCCCTCAGCCCAAGGGAAAGGCAATAAAGAACAGCCAGGCTGCTCCCGTCTGCTGAGTAAATGTCATGGTCTGACTGCAGCTGGAGGGCAGTGGGGGTGGCACTCAGGAATCAAGGAAGATGTTCAAGGGGAAATGCTTGGCTTAGAACTCAGGATGGGGGACAGGGCACTGCGAAGGTGAGTCCCCAGCTTAAGACAACAGAAAGCATTTTTAAAGCCAAAACTATTCTGGGAGCCATTTCCAGGGCTTAGGCATGGCACCACCTGTCCACCGCCCCCCAAACACGCTGTCTTGCCCTCCAATCAGTACCACTGCCTGTTAATTATGGCAGAAAAAATGCAGCCTGCGCACAGAGGGTGACTGGGGACTTGAAGTGGTCACATGGAGGTCCCACGGGAGCACAGAGTTAATCCATCTTCAAGAGGCAAACAGGGCTGGTGAAGCCTGGCAGAGGGAGTGGGCAGCAAGAACCATGGCAATGACCAGACAGACTTACGGTGACAGTGGCCAGTAAATCAGGCAGGGCTCGCTGGGAGAAGCCGTAGGGGCAGGGCCGACCGGAGCAGGGGCCCAGAGCAGCAAACACGTACCCTCCCACCAACTCTGCTCCCAGCACCGGGACCAGGAGGGTCAGGAGTGGGAGGCTGGAGCAAGGCAGAGCACAGTAGGGCTTGGCATGGAGACTATACCAATTAAGAAAGTGAAAACGAGGAAAGGCGTTACCCCGGAAGCTAAGGCTGTGAGACATCAAGGAAGGACGCTTGGGGCCAGGGCGAAGGAAGGAGCCAAGCGGAGGCAGGCTGTGGGAGGCCAGCGCCAGAGCTGCGGAGCTGGTGGAGAAGCTCTAGCCCTGAGCCGAGAGGGACGTGCCATTGGCACCTGCACGCCTCACCCCGAGCCCAGCCCCCCAGCACCCCCCGTGCAGACCCAGACGGAGGGGAGGCTGCCAGGGGTCAGTGAAACCATCTCTCCCTCCCTCTCTTCCTGCGGTCTAGTGACACTAATTGGTCTGATGCCTCTTGTTATTTTAGTCACAGACTGATCCTGGATTGTCACAGTGCCACCATGGAGTGAGCCGTGTGATTTATGTGGAGGGGGGAAGGTGCCTCCCTGCCCCACTGGACTGTAGGTTCATTCATTCTCCAGTCCCTGCTTCCAACAGGAGCTGCGTAATTTCTGGACTCTTCCAGGGCCCCTCTCCGGAAGCAAGCAGCAGGGCCTGCGGGGCCCAGGAACTTGCACAGGTTCTGAGTAAACCAACCTGCTTTCCCCCCTCTTCTTAAGCACAGCTTCCCCCACTTCTCCAGCCCAAGCGGTTTCATCCAAGCCAATCCCAGGCCACACAGCACCAAGGACAAATAGCAATAGCCCCAGCACAGAGCCACACAGGCATTAAAAATATGTTTATCTTTAATGATCCAAGATTCTGCAAGACACACGGATATACCCAGAAGTGGGTGGAAATACAGCTTTCTCAGCGGTGCTGCCGCCAACCTGGGGGGAGGGAGGGGCTGGATGCTGGCTGGAGACCCTCCCCCCAGGTACAGTTCCAACCTCACAGGGAGTCTCAGTGCCCTATCTCCATGGAAACCAGCCCAGCACTGGGATGGGGCTCTAGGGAGCCCCTAGGAGCATCTCTGAGAGGTATTTCCCATTAAAAACAACCACAGCTGCCCTCCCCCACCCAGAGCTACTGCCCAGCTTCCCCTCTTCCCCCTCTGCCAAGACAGAGGAAATGGAGTGACCACAGAAGGACAAACAAAGTGACTGTACTTCCTATTAGGCAAGAAAAACGAAGGGAGGGGTTAGCAAGGTAGCTGTGGCAAATGGGGGAGCCATGATTGCCAAAGGCCCAGGTGTGACCCAACCCCAGAGGTACCCTGTGTCGCCTGGGGGCCACTGCTCTGGGGCATAGAAAAAGGCAGGTCTTCAAGGCTGCTTCCTCCTCTAGAGCTGCCCAAGGTTCGGATCAAAAGGGGATGGGGCCCAGGAAGGCTCTACAACCCCAGGAGGCAGTCACACCCACTGCCAAGACACTACCTGTGTCATGATGCAGTGTCAGGGATGTGTGGCCCACATGCCTCCCTTCCCGGCCTGCGGGACTGTCAGAGGTCCGGCTGAGAAGAACTCCAGGGAAGACCAGGACAGGGGTCAGGGCAGCAGACAAAATCTTCTCCAACTTGACATCAAAACAGAGCAAGTTCAAAGAAACAAAACCTTGATTTGTACAGCAGCTGCCCCTGGCCTACACCCACTTAGGGTCGGCCCAATAAAAAGCTGGGCAGCGCAGGAGCATGGCCGCCCTCGGGGCAGTGCACGGAACTCAGAAAAGTGAGTCTACAGGATACAAGAGAGAAGGGCAGAGCCAAGGCCCTGCTGTTCTCTGACACGTCCTCCACTGGCCGCACGCTCCCTGGGCCCTGACCTCAAACCGCTGTAGGAGCAACATCCTCAGGCTGAGCCCTGGCAGGCAGGTCTCCGGGGAGGGAAGTTCAAAAGGTGTCCCAGAAGGAACGTGAGAGTCCTCTGAAGGCCCCTGACTGAGTTCTTCAGGGAGAAGGGAGAGACCACCCACCCCTTATGGCCAGGCTGCAGTGACTGCGCTCCCCAGTCCCTCTCCTTGAAGGGGAAAAAACCAGTACTGTGAGCCCCAGGCAGAGCGCCCTGACTCAGAGAACGACAGGTCATTCGGCAGGGGTGGGCATCCCCACGCCCTCAGGCGCTGTGTGTCTGGATGAACGAGAGGACATCTTCCTTGGACAGCTTGTCTGGGTCCTGGGGCTTCTGGGAGTCATGCACACGGATGCCATCCCCCCACTCCCAGAAGAGCCTGCCATAGTAGCAGATGCTGGGGAGAAGGAAGAGAAAGGAGGTCAGAGGGCTGTACCCAGGTGGAGCAGGACCAAGAGATCACCACCCCAGCCCCGGCGACCGTGATTTAGAGGGTTGGTTCTTCAGAGTCGGGTCGTGTGGGGGTGTTGGAGGGGGGGAGCATTTGACTCCAGGTGAGGGTCTTCCCTCTGGCGGCCAAAAGGTACCCAGTAGGCCCCAGCTCCTCTTTCCTGACTTCTGGAACCAGCTTTTCCCAACAAAGAGCTGCTGCTGCTAATTGTGTCCAACTGGATTCCTACAATTACTGATATTCCTGGTTTATCTGTCTGTGCTGCTTTAGTAAAACAGTATTAGTGTGGCGACAGAAACTAATGTCAGTGGCTAATTATAGGCACATTAGAGCTGCTGGCTACTGTCAAAACCTAGGACTAACAATCTGGCAAATGGACACTGGGTCCTCATGAGGAATGACAAGGACCTTGAGTCCCAAGGGGCAAGGCTGCAGGCCCTCAGTATGTTCCCACCATCAGGCCAGTACCGGAAAGTCACGTAAGCAGTGGCTGCTCCAAGGGGCAGATGCCCTGCCTGGATGAGGCCCTGCCCACTGAGGATCGCCAACCATCAGAGCAGGTCCTGGCATCCCTTGCCTCTCACTGAGACTCTACCCAGAAGGGGGCCACATCCCCACCCTTGGGAGGAGCCCGGCCCATGCTCAGGGGAGCCCCTGCTTGGGCAGCCATCTTTCTCAGGACTTGGGGTGTGCCCCAAGAAGGCTGGTATCCTGGCAGGAGCACCTGATGCTGCAGAGGGGGAAGGCACGGAGGAGGGCCACTTACTGAAATGGGGCAATGGAGTCTGCAGGGAGGTCAAAGGTAGAGATCTTGGTTTTCTTGTTGTAGAAGAACTTCCTCTTGAAGCTTTTGCTGAATCCCATAGTCCACGGCTCTGACAGAAAGAAGAGGGAAAGGTCATAAAGGATATCCATCATTCATGGGGGACAGGGGCAGACCAACATAGGGGTGTGTCTTCCTGCACTCCTGTTCTTCCATTCCCCTTTCCCAAAAAGCCTGTGAGGATGCAACCTCGATCACCAGCCCAAAGAGGCTCAAGGAGGACAACTAAGATAATTACTTCTCAGCAACCCCACCCCAGTCCTGCCAACCTGCCACCAGGGTGACAACTCTGGGAGCCCGGCAAAGCAAGGGCTCTGTTTACCAGAGGGCACTGAGGAAAAAGGGATGGGACCAAGGAAGGAATGGCCAAGCTTGACTCTGGAACTGCTGCTGCCCCCGAGAAGACCCTTTTCCTGCCATGAGGACACCATCTGTGCATAGACCAATTGGGCTCCTCTCTCCCCAGCCCCAACCCAATCCCCAGGGGGAAACACAGTCCCCACCCCTCCAAAATACACCTCCAAGAAATGCCAGGCTGGCCGCTCTGCCCCTCAGCAGGCAGCTTTTGGCTCTGGGCCAGGCATCCCGGCCGCAGGAAAGGGCAGGGAACCATCCCTCATCACCTACCATTCACCGTCCTGACGATGTAGAGGCCCGTGGGCACAAAGTGCCGGTCATCCCGCCCTGTGTAGCTGAGCTTCGGAGTGCCACTGGAGCCCTTGATGATCTTCATTTCCAACCTGATTGCCCCGAGATGAGTAAACACGAAGTGGGAGTATGTACGTGAGAGAGTGAGCGAGAGGGCGAGCACGCCCTCACGTTAGTCGCTGGCTAATCCCAAAATCTCACCACCCACAGCGTTTTATCTCCGCTCAACGGAAGAAACTGAGGCAGAGACGGGAGCTGTTCCGGGTCACATGGCAAGGGAGCCTGTGCGGAGCTAGATGTAAGACTCGGGCTCTGAACTCTCCACCAAGCAGTGGAGGCAGGAAAGTGACAGACGGCCCTGCTGTCGGGGGTTTCAGGGTGACACCAGCAAGGGTACAGTCTGAGACCAGAGGTGCCACTGGGCCTTCAGTCCACCACCAAAGGCATTGCAGTGGCCACTAAAGAGTTAACACGAGCCCCCGCAGACCTGGCCCAGCTCCGGCCACGGTGGGGGTAGGCGCAAACCCAGGACGAGACCGACGGACTGCAGCACCCCGCACAGCACTAAGGCTGCACAGCACTAAGGCTACGAGGAAGCAGTTCTGCCCCCTGCGCCCCTCCAGGCTCAATCTCTCCATCCGCACCGGGAGCTGGGATTTACAGCATCTCGAGCGGCTTGCTGCTTTGCCCCTCACAGGGACAATCGGAACTCTTACAGCATCGATGAGCCCGTGCTTCTGCTTCTGCCTGCCGCACACCCGCCCTGCTCCCCTCCTGCCAGGCTGCTAAATCAGCTCTCAGCCGGGGGGCTCTTGGCTGCAGCAGTGGGCTCAGAGGCAGCCTGCCAGGGCCTCCCCCCAACCCATCGCTGAAAAAAAAGAATATTGCTGCACCCCCCACCCCGACTCCTCCCAAATCCTGAGCTAAGGCAGAGTCACTCACCTAACAAAAATCTTCTCCATCTCCTCCAGCCTGTACACCTCCTTCACCCTGTGTGCAGAGGGACAGAGAGAGGACAAAGGCTTCCTGGGGGCTGGGGGCGGGGGTGGACGGTCTTGTCCGGCAGCAGCTGGGAGGCAGGAGGCGGTGCCTGTCCTCTGCTTCGGGCCCCTGTACCCCCGAGGGCCCCCAGCCTGGCTCACCGCTGTCCCTCACACACATGCCCCGAGCTCAGAGCTACCAAACACCACCTGGGCCTGCCCCAGGGCAACTGGGGAGCACAACCATGGTTATGGAAGAAGGGCGAGGGGGCAAGGTCGGGCAGACAAAGCTGTCTCTGCCAGCATTCCCACCCCAGGTCCCCTCCCCCATCGCCATGAGCAGAAGCACCAAGGTCAACGCTCATGCCCAGGTCTGTCGCCTTGGATTTTAGGGCTTCCTGTAGCAGAGTTACTTCCAAGCAGTTCTAACAAGCCTTTTACCATAGGGGGCAGGGGAACCCCTACCCAGGGCGCAGGGCTCCCCCCACCTCTGGGGGCCCTTGAATACGTCTTTGGAACTGCTACTGGGTAAGGTCCCCAGGGACCCCAGCAACCAGACCACCAGCAACACAGGGAGGGTCCCTGGACGGTGGCCCTCAGGACCTGGCAGACAGGGGATTTTACATAAAGTGTAAACAGACAACTCAGTCTCTAGTCATATGAAGCCCCAAAGGTAATAACCTCTGACCTGGGCGCAGCCTGGAAAGTCTGTTCTCCATCTGTCAGCTCCCTGACTGTCCTCATCCTCCTCTCCTCCCTCGGGGGCCTAGAACTTTCACACTACCTAACATGGGAACAAACTTTCTCTTTTTCATGTTCAAAAACTCCCATTCCCTTAACACCCTTTTCTTACCTGAAAAAAAATGAAAAGGCCAGGTGATATGCTAATGACATTGGAGCAAAAGCGTGCGATTCACAAGGTGTGTGAGCACCCTCAGGAGCACGTGCATCTTAAACGGGGACACCTTAACCGCTAGGAATGAATCCCTCCTCTGGAGGTTGGCCCACTGGGACAGGCAGGATGGGGAGAGACTCTGGGGCGGAGACCCCTATCCTAGCAACCCCCCCTCCCCAACAATTCGCACTCACCAAGGGTAGTCTTTTCTAAAGCCAGCCTTGCCTGGTCCCCTCTACTGAGCTCTCCCATCCCCCACAGGACAGGGAAGCCGGCGCTGGCCACAGAGCAGCAATGGGGAACGGGGGTTTGGAAGGCGGAGACCATGTGCTCACCTGATGGGATTCATGTCAGGCCGACTGGGCTTGGAAACAGCTTTCACAAATTTCTCAGCAAGCTGAATTCTACAGTTCAAACAGAGGCTCTCAGAGGCAAGCAAAGGCGCCTTGACTAGCACCCCTGCCCCCAGGGCCTTTCCACGGCAGCCGTGAAGGAGCACTGGCAAGCGCGCAGCTCCCACCCCCAGCACCCCCGGCACCCCCAGCACCCACAGGCAGCCCACCCCTCCCTTCTCCACTGCCGTCCTTTGCAGGCCCACCCTCTCTCTGGATTCTGACACCCCGTTCGCTCTGTCCTGGGAGGCTTTCCCGAAGTGTGCGTCGAGGTGTGTCCAGTCCCCTCCACTACGACCTCAAGTATCGTCTTTAGTGTAGGTGTCCGCGCACCCCAACCACCAACACCACAGCACACCCCACAGAACTGCCTTAGGAGTGACGGCAGCAACACAGCAGTGTCAGATGTCCCGCCTTTTTGTCCCCTCCCCCCCAACAACTGATCAGGCAGCCATCCACAAACAAGAGGGATCCAGATGAACTGACAGAAACAGGACTACCCATGCTTAAGGCATGTTCTTTAGAGACCCTTCCTCTCTCTATAAGGTTATTGTCCTGCTCAACCTTAACACAAACATCACTTCTGATCTGAACAGCTGTGGCAAAATGGAATGTGCTGGTATCCATGGCCATCAAGGCCCACGCCCTAGCACACTCTGCAGTGCCGATATTAATTCCTCTCCCTGCCCCTGGAACCAGCCAATGGGTGGGCAAGGGAAACTAAGGCTATCTTAGGCAAGGAAAGCCTAGGTGAGGGGCCAAGCCCTAGAGGCTGCTGCCAGAGTTGCCCTGGTCTACCCCGCCCTCCCTACCCAGGGCCCAGGTCAAACCGCTGGTTAAAGTGCTGCTCCCGCACGTCACTGCCGTTCAGCACGAGGACATCGAGGATGTGGATGGCACTAATCTTCCGCTGGGCCTTCCCCTAGAAGGACAAGTACACTGCCCACCCTGCCAGGCACTGGCCTGGGGCCCACACTGCCCACCATGGCGTGCTGGCCTCCATTCTACCTATAGCCGGAGAAGGGAAGGACTCCAAACACAGGATATCTCTCTTGCCCCACCTCCCCAGCTCATCCTCAGCACCACACTGGCCCAGACTTCTGAGCAGGCAGAGATCTGAAGCTTTGGGTGACAAGCCCCCTGGAACCCAGGGAGAGGCGGCCGCCATGGCGCTCCAGCTGGAGCCTAGCTTCCCAATCTTGTCAACTGTCCCCACTAAGCGTTCTGAAAGTCACGTGTATGGCTGTAACGGCCAACGCGCAAGGGATCCCGGTAAAAACATCACCAGCAGCTAAAAACGACCCATCAGGCCCACTAGGGCCCTCGCTGCCCGGAGATGATCGAGATCCCCTCTTACACACATGCGGACTATGGTCCTTCCTACCTGAACATATCATGGTTTAGAGCAACTACTCGAGGAGGAGGAATCATTACAAAGCCTTTCCCCAGCTCTGCGCCCTGTGAAGCACCACATACAACATAACCCAGTTAACTGAGGGGGGAGCTTAGCTATAAAGCTTAGCCGGCAGGGCCAGAACACGTGAGCAGAACCACCTCTGACCTCCCCTTTCAGCTCATGGACGATCTCCACAGACAGCAGAGTATCCCGGGGTAGCTCTGTCTTCAGGTCTAGCTTGACCCAGCGGTCTGACTGGCGGCCATCCCATGTGTAAATCTGAGACTTCTATGGGCAGAGAGAAAGGGCCCCATCAGGCAGGTATAGAGATGGAGGGGTGAGAGCCTCAGTTCTCAAAAGGGCTTTTAGTTGGCAGCTAAAAGCTGATGGGGCTGGGAAATGTCAGAAGAAAATGTCCAGGAGAGATTAGCCAGTTATGCTTCAGCAACAGGGATCTGGTGGTCCTGGGGGGAGGGAGCAGGCCCAGGGCACCACTCAAAAGGCCTAAGTCCACGATGAGTGGCCGTCAGGGAAGATCAAGCTTGGTGTATGTATCTCTGAGGTGAGCTTACAGAAGGGTCCAGTGAGTTGGTGGGGGTGTGGGGGGGCAGAAAGTAAAAAGAGAAAAAGATCAAGTGTGAGAGAACACAAAGTAAGTGAGGGAGCAGAGATAAAGTTACACAGAGATACAAAGCAGAATGGAAAGAAAGGGTAATGATGACTTTACCCAATTAAGATACAGAATTGCCAAGGCTCGGGGCGCCTGGGGGGCTCAGTCAGTTAAGCATCCAACTCTCAGTTTCGGCTCAGGTCATGATCTCAGCGCCGTGAGATCGTTGGGCTCAGTCCTGGGTGTGGAGCCTGCTTAGGATTCTCTCCCTCCCTCCCCCTCTTCCCCCTCTCTCTTGCAAAGAAAAAGAAAAAAAAAATTGACAAGGCTTTCCCTTATCTTAGACTCCAAGGGCTCCAGAGCAAGACAGGATGACGAGGGATGGTGTTGCAAAGAAATGGCTGCATGGATTCAAGCCACATTAGCCTGCTGAGCATCCTGCTAGCCTAGGAAGCTTAATATCACAAGAAAAGAAGCAAGTGTTCCCTTTAGCAATGCACAGAGATGAGTAAGCAAATGTGTGAATAAATTAAAAACTGAACGGATGAATGACACTTGGCTAACTCAGAGGAAGAAAGGAAGTGAAGCTTTAAGAAATACCTTCCCTGGGGTCAAAGCCCCAGCTCCTTGGTGCCAAGAGAACACCAAGTGTGGCAGGCAGCTGTCCAGACTCCCACAGACCTAGACCAAGGTTCTACACCCCAACTACTAGATGGGAAGCGAGCGGCAGACTTACCCCCAGGCCAATGAGGAACTTCTGCTCGCTGCCAGACACCATGCAGCGGTAGTCGAGCACTGGGCGGATCTTCTCCAGGGTTTTGGAGGTGAGCAGTGTGGGCTTATAACTGAAGATGTCAATCTCAGTGCCCTGCAGCCCCGGGTCAGAGAAAACACGGCTGGGTTGGGGGAACGGACAGGTGCTCAGGAGAGGTGCCTGTATGGGGGTGGGGGCGGCTGGGAGAAGCGAGGGACAGGAAGCACTGGCTCTCTGAAACATGCCCCCCTGCACCCCTGCTCTACCTAACCATGCGCTAACTGGGATCTAATTCCATCTGCTTGGAGTGTTCCTTTAGGACCTATTAGGACAGGCTGGGAAGGGAAAGAACACAGAGTCCCTGAGTACAGATCAATTTACCAGAGCCATAAGGAAATGTCACCTGAATATAAAAGCCACCCCTTCAATAAAACTGAAGGCGAGGACTCATCAGTAGTTGGTTTGAGAGCAGTTAAGTGACCTCTCCACCCCATTTAGAAAAATGTACATGTGCTACTCTTTCAAGGTCATCTTGAACCACATTCTCCAGTCCTTGACCCCACAAAACCAGCACAATGGCCCATGATCTGAGCCAGATTTAAATAAGCCCAGAGAAAAGCTGGAAGTCAGGTGGTAGAAAAAAACAGAGCAGAATTCCAGGGACCAGCTCACCAGAAACAGAACAGGGAATCTAGGGTTAGGCCAGCCCCACTGTGGAGCTCCCGAGAGCCCCTCTTGGCCCTCTGCCCAACTCCCCTGCCTAAGATCATCCCACACTTCATTGTCTCCCCTGCAGGCAAATTTCATGCGACCCTGAACTTGCCAGGGAGTGGTAGCCAACCCCACCCTTCGGGCAAGTGGGAATGCTGAGCACATCACATCTCAGGACAAGAATCTTCAGGCAACCCGATGGGCTTTTGGGGAACTCAACACCCTACACCAAAGGCTCCCACCTATGGTGGCCTCAGCCTAGTCCCTCAGAGCCCAGGAGGTGCCTGCACAAGCCCTCTGGAGGCCAGGCATCTGGGGATCTCAGCAATACCTTCCACATCTAAAGTTAGGCTTCTCTAACTTTTTATTTTCCCCAGATACCAAAGTTACCTGGATTAGCTCAAAGAACTTAGATTTGGGGTCTGAGGAAGAAGGAGCAACTCGAGCCTGGTCTGGGATCTGAAAGGAGACAGCAACGAGCTTTGATTTTCAAATGCCCTTTCCACGAAGGCTGTCTGTGAGCATATGCAGGCGAGGGGATAGGTCCAGACGGGGGAAGAGGCAATGGCACCTAACAAAGGGGGCTAGAAAGCAGGAGATGGAGGTGGGTAATCCAGCCACTGCCCCACTTCGGGCCCTGGGGTGCACACCACAAAGGCCACTTCCCTCTCTCTGGGGCTCTCTGTGGGCAGTGTTGCTGTACAGAGCCCCAGCAGCAAAATGAGGCCTGGGCACCCACCACCCTTGCCCTTTCTGACCCAATTGCGGGACCACACGGACAGTGAAAGGGCCAAAAAGGTAACTCCTGATGATGCTGAGCCGGCTGGCTCTGGAACACCATAAGGACAGGCAGACGTGTTCACACGAGGGGAGACCCTAAGATGACAGGGTTGGTCAATCCATTCTTCTCTACAGCCTCCCTGCCCTGGAGCAACAAGTGGCTGGGGAGATGCTCACCCCCCAAAGTCGAAGGCACTCTTTCCGGATCTCTGCCTGCCGAGGCTCACTCAGGGTCCTGAGAAAATGAAGCCAACAGTGATTAAAACCTCCAAGAGGTGAACCCCTCAGAACCCCAGAGAGAGGAAGCCCACATGAGTAAACATGTGTGTGCACACACTGCCATCAGCTCAGGATGCTAACAACACTCACACGGCTCTGCCCCTTAAAGATGGGAGCTCAGAGGTACACAAAGTGGGGTGACCTCCCCTTCCCACCACAAAGGGAAGGGAGACTACCCTCCTGATCACACCCTGGATGCCAGAATTCCCCACACAGCCTTCTCTCAATTACCCATCAGCATGTTCTGGCTCCTCCTCTGCTGAGAGAGGCCACATTAAGTCCATCCCAGTGGACGTCACTATGTCTCAGAAAGCTGACTCAGTTTATGCTCACCCCCTACCAGAGGGTTGGTTTTCCTTGACCAGTCCTATCTCCCCTCTCTTGATCACTCTTTACTCCATGTCCCCTCAACATTATGTATTCTATTCATACTATGCCACTCTACATCCTCTGATGGACTACTACTAACTCTTCCTGTATCCTTTTCCTGGGTTACTCTTCTCTGCCCAAACACAAACACAAACACAACGTCTTTGAAGGCAAGGTTCATGCCATATACTTTTCTGGCATGCTTCACAGACCACAGCAGAGTAGAAGATAAAAGAGTAGATGTTTTAAAACGTTTGTTGAAATGAAATAAACAAAGAGCTTAGAGCAAAATAAAAAGATCTTTCCTTCAAGTAGATGAATTCTGGGGAGTGGGCAACACTTACGTGTCTTGAACAAACGCATGGATTTTGGCCAGAGCTTTGATCTGCAGACTACAGTGGCTAGAGAGAGAGGGGGGAAAAAAAAGGATTTAATTTCAGGATTACCAAAAAAGACAGCCAAAAGGCATCAAAAAAGAGTTCAGCCAGAGCAGTGCTATCTATATTTGGGGGAGAAGGGCTGGAGCCCTGAAAGAGAACTCCCTTGACCACACCCCAAGGTACAGTTACATGGGGCCTGCTTACAATAAAGCAGAATTGAGTCAAACCCTCCAGACACTCAGCTCCCAGGTCCTGCTAAAAGGAAGGTTCTGATCCCATCCTTAAAAATTTGAAAGCAGTAGTGAACTAATTCTAAATAAAGCAACAAAATCCAGACCCAGTTCAACTGCAGACTAAACCCTATACTAACAGCTGCCCTTTCTACTTTAATCCCCAATGTTCTTTTACACACAATGCCTGGCATTAAATAAAAAAGTATGTGACATGTGATAAAGCAAGAAAATGTGAGCAACTAGCAAGAGGGAAAACAATCCAACAGTACAAGATCCAGAAAATGGTCTGAATGTTAGAATTATCAGACAGGACCCCTAACTGAAAACCATGTTAAAGGATCTACCAGAAAAGATGTACAATGTGCACGCAAAATAGAGAATTTCAGCAGAGATGAAGAAACCACACTTCTAAAAAACAAAGATTCTAGAAATATATAATATTAGAGATGAAGAATGATTTTGATGGGCTTAACAGCAGACTGAAAACAGTAGAGGAAAGAATCCGTGAACCTGGGGACTGAAACACAAGAGAAAAAAGTGAAAAAACACACCAGCACTGAAGCTCTACAGGACAATAGCAAACGGTTTAACATAAATAAGTAGAGTCTCAGAAAGAGAAAAAAGACTAGGACAAAATACTGACAAGATAATAGCCAAGAATTTTCCCAAACTGATAAATGAAATCAATCCACACATCCAATGTCAGAGAATCCCAAGCAGAATCAATACAAAGAAAACCATATATAAACACATCACAGTCAACATGCTGAAAACAAAGATAAAGGGAAAATCTTAAAGCAGTCAGAGGAAACAGGACACACAACATGCATAAAAACAGTAAGAATAATGACTGACTTCTCATCAGAAACAAGGAAGGCAGAGAACAATGGAACATTATCTTTCAAGTCCTGAAATAGAAACACAGTCAACCTCGAATTCTATATCCAATGAAAATATCCTTCAAAGATGAAAGGGAAATAAATACATTTTCAAAAGACAAAAGCTGAAGGAATTACTCCAGCAACACTTGCCCAACAAAAATAGGCTAAAAGAAATTCTTTGGGCAAGAGGGAAATGATTCCAAATGGAAACCTGGCTCTGCAAGAAGGAATGAAGAACAACAGAACAGGTAAATAGGTTAGTCAATATCAAGGACCTTTAAAAAAAAAATTAAATGTACAAATACAGGCATGCCTCATTTTATTGCGCTTCACATGACTGTACTTCACAGATAATGCATTTTTTTTTTTTTTTTTACAAATGGCAGGTTTGTGGCAACCCTGTGTCAAGCAGATCTATTGGTGCCATTTTCCCAACAGCATTTGCTCATGTCATGTCTCCATGTCACATTTTGGTAATTCTCACAATATTTCAAACTTTTTATTATTATTTTTGTATTTGTTATGGTGATGTGCGATCAGCGAACTTTGGAGCCTGAAGATCAGACTGAATTGCTATAAAACTTTAAAAGATGAGGAGCTGCTTCTTATGGATAAGCAAAGAAAGTAGTTCTTGAGCAGGAATCTACTCCCGGTGAAGAGGTTGTGAAGACTGTTGAGATGACAACAAAGGATTTGGGATATTACATAAACTTAGTTGATAAAGCAGTGGTAGGGTTTGAGAGGACTGACTCCCAATTTTGAAAGAAGCTCTGTTGGTAAAATGTTATCAAACAACACTGCGTGCCACAGAGAAACTGTTCACGAAGAGTCATTCAATGTGGCAAATGTCTTATTTTTAGAAATTGTTGTCTTATTTTAAGAAATTGCCACAGCCACCCCAACCTTCAGTAACCACCACCCTGATCAGTCAGCAGCTATCAGCACTGAGGCAAGACCCTGTACCAGCAAAAAGATTACAACTCGCTGAAAGTGCAGACAATGCTTATCATATTTAGCAATAACATATTTTTAAATTAAGATTTGTATACTGCTTTTTGTACATGCTATTGCACACTTAACAGACTATAGTATAATGTAAACATAAATTTATATGCACTGAGAAACAAAAAAATTAATCTGTCTTGCTGTATTGCAATACTCACCTTACGGCGGTGGTCTAGAACCAAACCCACAGTATCTCCGAGACATGCCTGTACCTTTAAGTCTCTTTAAAAGACAATACGGACTTTATAGTTTAAAATTAAAATAACAGCAAGGTAAAGTAGGGTTTATATGAAATAAGAACACGCATATGCAAGTAAATGCATATTTACTATGGTAAGGTTCTTACATTGTTCATGAAGTAGAATACTTTTTGAAGGTAAACCATGATAAATTAAAGATGCATACTGTAATCTCCGAAACAGCGAAAACATAACACAAAAGGTATAAAAAAGAAAAAACCCAAGGAGATATAAAAGACTATTAAAAAACACAAACTTTCCCCCCAAAAAAGGAAGGAACAGAGAAACAAAAAGAAGACAGGATAAACAGAAATCAAACCACCAAGATAGAGGATTTAAATCCAAACATATCAATAATTACATTCTATGTAACTGTACTAAACACTCTAATTAAAAGGCAGAGACTGTAACACTGGATAAGAAGGTAAGACCCAAGCATACGTTATTTACAAAGACAAAGACAGGTTGAAAATAAAGTAACATAAAAAGACAAACCAAACAAATACTAAGCAAAAGAAAGCTGATGTGGCTATATTAATACCAGACAAGGTAGATTTCAAGACAAAGAGTATTACTAGAGATAAAGAAGAATATTTCATAATGATAAAAGTTCAATTCATTAAGAATAACAGAGAATACAGATTTAGAGACTAATATACCTCATGAACAGACTCAACTTAATAAAATATTAGTAAATCAATACAGCAATATATAAGAGTGATACACATAATCAAACCATATCCAAAAACGCAAGATTTGTTTACCATTTGAAAATCAATGTAACTCACTGTAATGAAATAAAGAAAAATAACATAATAATTTCTATAGATACAGAAAAAGTATTTGACAGAATTAAACATCCATTCATGATAAAAACTCTAAACAAACTCAAAATAGAATAAAACTCTGCCAACCTGATAAAGGACTTTAAAAAAAACCTACCAACACCATACTTATTAAACAATTTACACTTAAAATCAACAATAAGGCAAGGCTGTCTGCTTTTATCACTTCAACATCAAACTGGAGGAATTAGTGCAATAAGAAAAAAAAAAAAACAGACCTACTATATGATCAAGCAATTCCACTTGTGGGTATTTATCCAAAAAAAACTGGAATCAGGATCTTGAAAAGATATCAGCATCCCCATGTTCACTGCAGCACTATGCACAACAGTCAAGATGTAGAAACAAACTAAATGTCCACTGACAGATGAATAAAGAAAATGTGGTAATATACATACGATGGAGTATTTTTTCAAATTTTTTATCTTAAGTAAACTCCACACCACATGTAGGGCTCAAACTCACAAATCCAAGATCAAGAGTCACATACTCTACCGACTGAACCAACAAGGCACTCCTTTACATACAATGGAGTATTATCCTGACTTTAAAAAAAAAGAAATTAAGCAACATGAGACAACATGAATGAACACTGGGGACATCATGCTAAGTGAAATAAACCAGACAAAGAAAGACAAATACTGCATGATTCCAATTATATAAGGTATCTGAAATAGTCAAATTCATAGAACCAATAAGTAAATTAAACATTCTCACAGGATACACAGTCAGTATACAAAAATCAATTGTATTTCCACATACTAGCAATGAACTAGAAAATGAAATTTTAAACATACTACTTACATTACATCCAAATGCACAAAATTCTTAGGGATAAATTTAGCAAAAGATGTGTAAGACTTCTATACTGAAAACTATAAAACTCTGGTGAGAGACATTAAAGAAACTAAATAAATGGCCATTTTTTTATTTATGGATGGGAAGGTTCAATTTTGTTAAGATGTCAATTCTCGCCAAATTGATTCATAAATTCAATGTAATCGCCATCAAAACTCCAGCAGGCTTTTTGTAGGAATTGACAAACTGATCCTAAAATTACGTAGAACTTCCAAAAAAAAAAAAAAAACCTAGACTAGCTAACATTCTTGAAAAAGAAGATCAGTGCTGGAGAACATACACTACCTGACCTCAAGGTAACTTGTTTCAAGGTACAGTCATCAAGAGAATATGGCAAAGGACAGACAAACAGATTGATAGAACATGGGCGCCTGGGTGGCTCAGTTGGTTAAGCGACTGCCTTCAGCTCAGGTCATGATCCTGGAGTCCCGGGATCGAGTCCCACATCAGGCTCCCTGCTCAGCAGGGAGTCTGCTTGTCCCTCTGACCCTCCTCCCTCTCATGCTCTCTCTGTCTCTCATTCTCTCTCTCGCAAATAAATAAAAAATTAAAAAAAAAACAAAACCAACATTGATAGAACAGAACAGAGTGCTCTAGATATAATCAATCACACATATATAGTCAAATAATTTTCAACAAGAGTGCCAAAGCAATTAAATGGAAAAAGGAAGGTATTTTTAACAAATGGTGCTAGAACGGAGTATCTTTAAGGAAAAAAAAGAACTTGGACCCCTACCATCATAATACCACATGCAAAAATTAATTTCAGGTGGACTACAGACCTAAATGAATGAAACTTCTAGATGAAAACAGGAAAATATTTTCATGACTTTAGGCCAAGACTATTTAGGGAAAAAAAATCAATCACAAACAAAAGAAAAAACTGATAAATTAGATTTCGTCATCAAAATTTAAAAATTTCATCCAAACTGAAAGAAAAATAAGTAAAATTATCTCAGTTCACAGCCTTTTATGCAAAA